AAAAAAAAAAAAACTGAAATAAATTCTTACCAACCCGGGGAAAGGTGTTAATGTGTTATCTGCCGACAGTGGAGCGTGTGTTCGATCTGTCGTGCGTGTTTAGCGATCGATCTAGGCCGGGTTCAGCAACGCGTTGCGGTCTCTCGCCTATCCGGCTATGTTTTTTCTTTCTTTTTTCTTTTTCACGACTTTCGTTCTGGCATGGGTTAACGGCTAGCGTACCGCGTGTCCAGCGATAGAACCCGGTTCTCTTGATTAACTGGACCAACTCGTTAGACGGGACTCGCTCGCGTACGAACGACAGGAATCGATCGATTCGGACGATCGGATCGCGATCGTACGAGCGTCTACTTTACCGCGGAAAAAGAAAACGGAGCAAGAGTGAAGGGCCAACACATTGCATCCTTAATCGTAGAATGTATTTATTCGAGGGGAACAAAAAATGAAAATAAAAAAAAGAAATTAATAACACATCCTATCGTTGAGTAAAGTATCTTTGGGATATAAAAGTTTTTCTAAAGCGCTTCGATGGCAAATTCTCGCATTACCACGGCTTTTTCCGGTTCACATAATCGTAGATACTCAGTCGATGTGTATGTAACGTAAGTAAACTATGTCACGCCAGTTTGACATGTGTGACTCGCAAAAAAAAAATATTTGTACGATCGTCGGTACAATTTATAAATATTTTGAAATTTAATTGACACTGTGATAACACCCAACTATTATAATTGTAATATTATTACAATGATAATTATATTTCTCAGAGACAACAAAAGTATCTATATTATATTCGTGCATCGAGTATCTTATGACATTTTTGTATATTTTCAGATTGAGTTCAAATTGTATCAATCTGATTCTCGTGTTCCATTATAGTGCTAATGAAATTTCAAAATGCTTCGTATAATACAAGCAACATACACAAATATTTTTGCGAGCAACGATTCCAACTACACTGCATATCTTATTTTGAAGATGTAAAAATAAAGTATTCGAAATGCTCCTTGTGTAATTTCAATTTTTTAAGTTGTCAATTTAGATGAATTTTCAAATTTCTTTCATAATAAGTTCTCTGTGTAAGCTCGATTTTCTTAAACTCTTTGAATTTACACAGAAATTCGCAGTCTGGTGATAACTATGGCTAGAAACGACACGCTCTGCGATCGGTATCTTCTTAAGCACTATCGTTGATTACAGGAGAGCAAAAGGTACAGTATCGATTAATTCGTAAGAAAATTGTGCGATCGGGATAAAAAGTGTCATTTATGTGTCAATTGCGTAAATTACGTAGAATTCTTCCTGTTATCTCAGCGCAATACAGTCTTCAACTCTGTCTTTTTGACACGAATCTTTATTTTCTTTATCGCAAAAAGGTATCAAGCAATCGACTGGCACTCTCGTTATTCGACGATTCGTTGGCGTTACGTGAGAAAAGATTTAAAATGATTGTTTGATAGGTTTTATTTTATTTCTTAAAAATAGCGCATCAGTTTGGAATAATAGGCAAAAATTTCATAAGATTGTCATAAACGACAGAATGTCTCCTCTGGTTGTAGAAGAATTCTGTCGGAAGGCACCAGATCACCCGACTCACTAAAATTATCACGACTCGCAGTCAATCACGCGACAGATCACCCTTAATTCTAATTGGCATAATAAACAGTAGGTAAAAATCTTGGACTTCGCAGAGAAACACACAGTGCTAGTATAATATTCACCTAAACGCTAAGGATCACACAGTCGAAGTTACATTGTGCTAAAGACTTATCAAATAAAAAAGAAAAAAGAAAAAAAAAACTTCTCAATCACCTTATATAATAGAGTAGCGCGTGAGCGTACACACGTGACAGACAATTTCGCGCGAGTAAAATCTCCAAAATTGTCATCAAAATCATCAAAAACCTTCTTTGTCTCTCGTTCTCAGAATCTATCTTCTTCTATATGAAACTATCTTAGGATTAA